AAAACCAATACAAGTAAATTGGTATATTGTAATAGTGTTTATCTTATTCTATATTTTTAATATGGGAACATACTTGATATCAAAAATTATAACATTTAAAAATTACTGATATTTTTATAGGTTCTTTATGCTTTACTGGGTACATTAGACAATTTCATGACAACTGTTGTACATGTGAAAGCTGGTGTTTTAGATTGGTCTGAGACTTTCAGTGCTTTAAATAGATTTCTGCAGCAAGCAGAGACTTCACTACAAACAGAGATATTAAAAAAAAAAAAACAGGTTTAAAATACAATTCATACAATTGGAAAAAGAGAGGTCTAGAGAACTATTGCATAAAAAGACAAACAAGAATTTATTAATTACACAATTGCCTATTTAATATCATGCAACATCTCAAAAGTTTGAGTTGGTACTCTCAGTAACTCTTTGAGTATTTTCCTCAAAAAGAAAATTTTTGTGGATATAAAAGCTATTAACAGATTTTTATTTATTCCTATTTAACAAGTTTCCACCTGTGACAAAAATAAATTTACCTTGACCATGGATCAGTATGACACCATCACATGCTCATTCTTGGGAGCTAATTTTGAATAATGAAGAAAGTGGTTTGGGAAATCTTTATAATTCAGGGTTAAAAGTTAATAACAAAATATTAAGATTGATACATACTAGGCTCTAAATAAAAAAACTCCTAAATTGTCAATTTAACAGACATCATTTACTGAATGTGAATATCATCTGATCCAATTTTTTTTTAACAAGAGATAAAAATCAAAACCATTCTGCAAATTTCGCCATGAATGAGGACATTCTGATAAATATTCTCATAAACAAATTGTCTCATATAACATTTTATCTGAAGATGACACATATTTTAAAATGTTAACATATGAATAAATTACTTATTTTAGTATTTCTTTTGATAGTTTTTATTGTTTTTGTCATTGATGTACTTATGTTATTTTTGCATTACAAAATACAAATAATATTTATATACATTTATAGATATACCAATGCTATCTTTGTATTACAAAATATACATACATATTTTTAAACATTTATACTTTTTTTTGTTACCTAGAAAAAAGCAATTTTATGAAATTTTCAATATTTTGTTCTTTTAAATTATGACCTAAATATCCTGCAGCAAAATTATTTTTTAGTTTTTTGAAATTTACACATAAAAACCTTTCCAAAAAATCTTTAATCAACTCCATAGCACTTTCTGTTCAAAAGTTATGAATCAATGTCCGTAAAAACAGCTGTTTGGTCCACTATGATCATTTAACTGAATAAAAATATCATTATCATCCTTTCTAAACAATGTATTCCAGATGATAAAATTTGAGACTTATGCTTATTAATTACAGTTAAAATTAATTTTAGTGTTTGATCTAACCAATTTATATTTTGTGAACCAGTCACTTCCCTATAAATCAAAAGACGTTTATACGCACTTTGTTGTCATAATAACAATCCAACAGCTTGCCAACCCAAGTTGGCAAGCTGTTGGATTGTTGTTATGACCACCGCAACTACGAATAGCACAAAAAAAAAACATCAAGATGGTCTTGGGACAATTTATATGCTAAAACATATTTCAATATCAGTTCATTGTTACTAACATTTTCTTCATAAATTGACTTCAAGGAATTCAGATTATTTATCATGCCTATAAAATCCGTTTTTCTTCCTGTTTTATACATACATAAATTATCCATCTGGTAATTCTCTAAGGCTTTTTAGATATTCAATTATTTGATCAATGCGTTAAAATATTTTTTTTTACTTTCAATTTTGTATGCCACACTTCAGATTTTTTGCTAGTAAATTCTGGCTATTTAAAATGTCAAATGCATCATTAATATTAGTAAAAGTTTCAGTTGGTTTACTATTCTTTAAATTTAAAGTTTTGTTTTGTTAAATACTTTATGCTTTTGCCACATTTAAACTTATAGTTTGAGCTGCAATTTTCACTTTTATTTTTTCCTGTACCTAGTCAATGTGTGGATTTCTAATTCTTGTAGCAATATGCAGACCTTCACTATTCTGTATATCTACTAATTTCTGCAAGTATGACAGCAATTTATGGTACTAATGGAAATCTGTAGGATTTCCATTAGTACCATAATTTATGATACTAATGGAAATCTGTAGGATTTCCATTAGTATCATAAATTGCTGGTCTACTTGCTAATGTATTTCGTATGAGCTTTAACATGTGTGATATACAACCCTCGAAATTAGGAAAAATGAGGATCAAGTAAAATGGACGACTTGATATAGGATGAGTAAACTAAATAACTTTTATAGAAATATTGGATCTTAAAAAATATTTGTAGCAATTCCATCATATGTAAGGGATATAATTTCTGCACCACTTTCATAAATAAATTTTAAACAACATTTAACAGTAATAGATTTTTCACAACCAGCTAAACCATCAACTAAAAAATATGAAAAAGGAAGTTTCCAACGTCCATTTACACAGTTTACCATAAAAACTAAAGCTTCTTTTGCTTCAGGTAAACTATCATTATTAATATCACCACCAAAATCAATATAACCAGAAAATTTATGACCTGTCCATTCAATTTTTTTTCTAATGGCCATCTCATCTAACATATATGAACACACAACATATTAACCAATTTTCTTTTACTTTGCTATAAAGAGTAACTAAAGCTTCTTTACTAAATCCAAAGGAACAGTCAACACTTTCATACCATTTTTGTATAGTTCGTGCATTATTAAATGTTTTCCTAACCTATATGCTTTAGCAGAATAAAAATGTAATGTTAAAGCAAAGCTTCGTAATTCTGGTAGGTAGTTTTTAACTTTTCTTGTAAATTGCAACAAAATAACTTTTTTGTAGACTCAGAACTCTTCACATTCCCTGTAATTAATTAGATTAGACAAATTAATGTATTATTAGTTACAATATCATAATTGTATTTAATAACCCTATCAAGTAAAATGGGCCATAGTTGATTAGGGTATCAAGAAGTGATAGCATAGTAAAAGGCCAAACAGATTTGTAGGTTTTTCATTCAAACTACTTTTTTAAATTTACTTTATTTCTGAGAGCATCATGTTAAAAATAGTAACAATTAAAAAAAGAGTCATACAACAAATTATCACAATAGCATTACAATCAGAGCTCGAAGTCGCGAATAAAAAGTAGCGGGGTGGTCTTATATATAGAGGTATGATAAATACAATAATTAACTCATTGCTATTCCTACCATAATTGTGATGAACTAAATTTTTCCCTAACTGTATCTAATGGTTATTGTAGCAAATTTTTATTCATAAAAACTTACTAAATTAAAAACAATATTTCAACTGTAGGTTGACTAAAATAAAATAATCCTAAAGGTATAACTTAATTAAGTAAAAAATATTTAAAATAATTTAAAAAATAAAATAAAAAATTCATAAATTTGTTTAACAAAATGTAGTTGATATTTCTTCAGAAATCATACTTTTTAATTTAAGATGACAAAGGAATAGAATTAATTTAAATAACGAAATTATTTTTATAGAATTTATTAGACAGCTGCTGAAGCATTTTAATTGTCTTTTGTTTAGCAGCAAGTTTACTTATAGTTAATTTAAAAAACTTTCTACTTATTTCTGGTGTTACTGTTTCATTTTCATTAAAATTGCCGATATACCAAGTTAACCATTGGTGTTAGGATTGATTTGACAATTTTTAACATTAATGCTCCTAAAAATATTAAGGTGTTATATGTCGCAAAAAGTAAACTCAAACATTTTAAATCAATGTATGCCGTTGTAAAAGTAATTGTAAAGTATACCATTGTAGAGTATTTACATTAGACTTCGTGTTGAATAATTGGTGATATTATTATTAACATTAATGATGTAATTGTCAACATTATTGTTCCTAAAAATATATAGGTATTCTATATTGCAAAAGGGAAACTTAAAAATTTTAAATCATTATATGCTATTGCAAAAGAATTAGTTACTGTAATAAATCATTTGTGTTATCATTTTAAAATGATACTTGGTCCGTTTTTTGGTGGTTTTCTAGGATAAGTATTTTCTTTATGTGTTGGGATATCAAATATAGATGAAATTGCATCATTTTTTAGTTGCTTTTGTGAACTCCAAGGACCTCCTTCATAACAATCAATAGTGAAATATTTATCACAAAGTTTAGACTGTTTACTAGGAGTAAAACCATCCCTCCGCATAACTTGTATCCATTTTCTCCTCAATTCCAGATCTTTGGGAAAACTACCAACAAAAAAAATATTAATAAGTATATTTAAATAGTATGCAATTTATATTCAAAATATAATGTAGGATCTTAGCAAAGAAATTTAAACAAAATAATCTACATAAATATTAAAAATTTAAAAGTGTTAAATACATTAAGCTATGTCTCCTTAAATCGATATTATAAATTGTTGGATGCCCAAATGTGATGTCATGTTCTAAAAAATATTGTCTTCAAAATTTTGTGAATATTAACTAACGGTAAGGCGTGTCTATCAGTGTTTAAAAACAAAAGAATAAATTTTTTTTTTTACTAATTCTATTATAACTTTGTATTATAATTATGTAATATTTATGTTCAAATTTATGATGACAAAATTCTGCATTACCAAAAATAAAACAATTGTTGTAGTATAAAATAACTTATATTATAAAGTTGACAAGTTGTTAGCCATTTATATATTTAAAATATGATTTCAAGCACTACAAAAAAATCAGTCTATGTATGTACTAAGGCCTGGCAGTCCCTTATTTCAGTGTTTTGCCAGAGTATTTATCAAAGTATGCACTAATTTAAATATTTTGTTTTCAATTTTATACTTTTATAAGTTTACTTGTTACTGTAAAACTTTCTTATAAGTTGTTAGTGTTAACCTGGATTAACAACAAGGATTTAAACCTTCAGTTTTTCTAAGTTTCTATGTTATGAGATTAAGTTTCTAAGTATTAGATTATTTTAAAATTTCTAGATCATGGGTAATAAAACAGAGTTTAAACGTGTGGCCAAGCTGCTTGAAGATACAATTTCATTTGAACGTGATATTAATGTTTCAGTATTTGAAACAAATATAAGAGGTAAGATTTTTTATTTGATATACCAATAAAAAAATAACAGCAGGGGCTGACATTTTTAATGGTCATTTGGCATATTTTTTAGGTAATATATTTTAATAAATAAGCTCAAAATTAATATTTTCTAAGCCTTTTAAATTGCAAAAATTTATAAAGTTTAAAAAAATTAAAAAATTTTTAAAATTGCATGCATATATGGACAATTCAATTTTCAACTTACATTACATGTGCAACTTCATCAAATATTAAACAGGCTTGTTTGGGAAGCGGATGCAATTGCACTTGATTACTGACCACGAATATAATATTTAGTTGCAAAAACAAATCTACAAAAAAACAAATTCTATTGATTCAAAAAATACCCTGACTGTGCAAAATAATGTTCAAGAGCATTCTTTCCTAAAGATTGTATTATTTAAGTTTTCATTGAGATTTCTAACGTTAATTGTTATAAGAATATGTTGTCAAGCGATTATTTTAATTAAATCTATTATTTTAATTAAATTTTAATTGTTTTAATTTAATAATTATTTGAATTTAATTTATTATTTTTATACTATTGCTTAGGGTGGTTCAGCTTCTGTAGACAAAAAATTAAAGTCCTCCAATTACAGAGGCACTTTGATATTTATGTTTCTTTTGATCTATAAAACAAAACTATGAAATATTATTGAAATCAGAAAGTATTTAGAACTGCGTCATGGGACCTAAAGTTTGCAGATTTTTCATTTTTGGGCTTGATTTTTAAAAAATATTTATTTTTGTACCTATTTCCAAGAGCTACTTAGTAATTATTACCTGCAAAGAATTTGTATTTAGTATTTATTTACTTACTTATTTGTTACCAAAAATCATAGATCACAAGTAAAAACAAAACAAACAAAATGGTGGATTCTTGACTGCAGACAGCAATGTTAAAACAAATTTAAAATAAATGAAATAATGCTAAACATTTTTTAATTTACTTATAGCAACCGAAGATTTGATTATAGAACTAATGTAAACCAAGTGGTGGTTGACAGACAGCAATAATGGCTGAAAAAGATAAATAAACAATAAACAATTCTACTAGCGTTAGTTTTATTAGAATCTTGTTAAAATAAAACAAAAGTATATGAATAAAAGAAATTATATTATACTCTTTGATAAATAGAAGAACATCTGTTTCTTTATTTTTACTTTAAAAACAATCATTAATAGTAAGTTGTTGCTTTATATTTAAAATACTGCCTAACTTTTAAAAAAAAAAATTATAAAAAAGTGAAGTTAAGAAAGTATTAGTTCTAGTTCTGTTATAAAACTTTACTGTTATAAAACTTTACTGTTATAAAACTTTACTGTTATAAAGCTTTACTGTTATAAAAGCTTTCCTAATTGTTTTATTGTTGTTTTGTTTTTTTAATTTTAGATAAAAAATGAATGAAGAGAGAAATAGTGTTTGGGAATTATGTTACAATATCTGTACAAGTGTTAAAGTCTAAAAAAAATTTTTTTAAACAATAACTATTCCATTTTATTTCCATTTTCATTTTATTAATCTGTCACAAAATTTCAAAAAGTATAAGATTTTATTATGATAAATTTCAAAAAGTATAATATTTCATTATTATGATAAATTTCAAAAAGTATAAAGAAAGAAAAGTATAAAGATTTTTTGAAGTATTTGATAGCTGTTTTATAGATATATTGGTAGTGAATCAAAATTCTTGTTATTATAATAAATATTTTATTTAGTATTAAAATACCTTAATTTATAGTTAAAATATCTGATTAATAGTAAATAATAATAGTTTGATTTTATATTTGTGTTTATTTTTGTGTAACATGTCTACAACTTACAAACTTTATGTCATCCTCACCTCATCTTTATATCATTTTGTATATGATATCATCTAAAACACGGTGCTTAGGATGATGCTCTGAGACCTTGCAACACATCCCAAGAATTTTTTATCAAAAGACTCTTCCTTATTTCAAAAATGTAAAAAATAACTTTTTTCACCAAGACACAGTGGGCCAGAATCCCATATTTTTGGAAAAAAGTCATAGCTTTTTTTCCTCAAATCCATAGGCCCCAAAAATTGGTATATAAATTAATTGGATGATTATAATTTAAATAAGCATTGCTTTTTGGTGTGGTTGCCAAGGCAACCCCATTTGCATAGCAACACATATATATGCTTAGTTCCTAAGGGTTATTTTAGCCAAATGTTTCTAAAATTGGTATGCAAATTAATTTGATGATTCTAAAGGATTGAGCATAACTAATTGTTTTAATTTACAGTCACACTTTCATATAGGTACAGACATTTCCAAAATTATAAAGATAAAGATACATTTATAAACTAATATCATCTGTGGATGACCTCAATAAGTTTTCATAATTTTTTGTTTTGGTGTAACTTCCTGCTGTCTTTCTCAGAGATGCAATAAATGGATCAGATGTACACAGAAGTCGATTTAACAAATCTTGATTAGTTTTCACACGAGATGATTTTCTTGCAAAATGTTCACGATAGTTTTGAAAGTCTTTATTGCGTTTTTCTTGAGCTTCTTCAAAATGCATACCAATGGGTAATGCTAAACCTTTGATAGTTTCAGAACCATGGATTAAAATTTTGTGGAGAGATTTTGGCATATAGTACCAAGGATAATGATGAACATAAAGTTGAGCTGTTTTTAAACAGAAAGCCTCAAATTTATCAGTGTCAATATCTAAACCACATGAAATTGTTGCCAATATAATTTGCAAGTTTAGAATCAGTTCAACATCAATATTTAAAATTTTTGCAAACTTTTCCGCATTTTGAAATACTCTTCGAGCCGTATTTCCATCATTTGATGTTCCACTACTGCCAGATTTCGGAACATCAACTATCAAGCCCATTTCATCTTTAAATCTATTTTGAATTTGTTGTTTCAGAGCCTTTACTTTAGATTTATCTGCTGTTCTTGTCTGCCACTTTTTCAAAGTTATTTTTTATTCAATATGTAATAAACATTCAAAAAATCGTATCCAAGCATGTAAGGATGATAAACCAAATGAATAACTACCTGCAATACCCTTTTTCAAAACCATTTTTTCAATATCATTCATTGCTTTAGGACTTGCCCCACATATAGTACAGCATTGACCTGAATTTGTAACATCTGAAAGAGCAGTATGAACTTTTCCATCAATCATTGTAATTTGTATTACATGTATTTTGATTTTTTTATTATTTATATCAACTTCAAGTTTGAATCAAATCTTGCAAGTTTGAAATCTTAACCCTAATGAGATCCTCTTCTGATTTAGAAACTGCTGCTGTTTCTTTTTCAAATTCTAGAGGTCTACAGTATATTGTTGATGATGGTCGTGGATTTCGCCAAGCTGGGTACTGTTTTCCATTTGAAAAACCACATAAGTCCAATGGCACTAGGCAAGTAATAAAAAGTGCCTGCTCATTGTTTAAATTTCTTTTTACTGTTCCTTGCGATATTTGTTTATATATAGACTGTCCTTTGGCACCATCAAAACCTATTTTGTATCTCAGAGAAAGTCTATCTGGAGTGCCTTTAGTGCTAAGGACATCATACTGTGTCTTGCATATTCTATTTGCTGTATGATTGACCAAAGCTTGCAGTTTTATTTCAGCTGAAAAGTCTGAGACAGATATATCTGCAAGATAGCGTAACAGCTTTGCATCCCGAACATCATTATATGGAAGATATATATCAACTCCCAATTCAACTGCTTGATTTCAAATAATTTGGTAGGAAGCTTTTGTCAATCTAGCATCTAAAAGAAGACAAAAAGCTTCATCTTTAGACATTCTACAATCTATTTTTGAGGTTTTTTCAGTTGGGTTTTCTTTTCTTCGTTTAATTTCTGAAGCAAATTGTAATGCAGAAGCAGAATACATTTCAGTTAAGTGACTAACTTTATGTTTTTTGGTTTTAGTAGAGTAGTCATCAAATTTTGTCTTATTTGGTCTTCCAATAGGTATTATAGTTACATTTAAATTTTTAGGAAAATGGCTTTGCAGCCATTTTTTGTTCTTTTCTTCAAATCGAGCCATGCTGCAATATGACTTGCGCCACTTATCTCGTAGATGCGTTATTATAGTTCCTAATTGCTGCTTGTTGCAATCCAAATTCATAGCATCAATAAGTTTGTCCACAATGCCAGAGTCAGATATTTGTAGATTATTAGGCTTATGCATAATGAATGCATAGATATCAAAATTCCTTTTCAGCCTACAAATACAAAAAATATACTATTTATGAGACATTTGGAGATAAAACAAAATCCATATATTTATATGTTTATTTTAATGTGATAAAAATATGATTTGCTAAAAAATTGCGATTGGAGCCTGGGAACACAAAGAAAAGCCAGAATATTGGCCCCCCTGCCCCAAAGATGAAACTTGTAAAAATCATTAATAGAGACGCAGCTGACACCCGCCGACAATAGGTAAAATATATATCGATAATGTACATATTGGGCAAGATATTTTAAGTCTCAAATTTCTGGAGCACCTTGGAGCGCAAAAGTATTTCATTATTTAAGTGAAATTTTCACTAAAAAAAGTGCTTTAAATATGCCATCATTAGAAATCAATTTATTTTATATAGCTTACGTGCAAAATAATTTTGCAATAGCTCATTTGATAGATAATACTTAGTTTTATTTAATTATTCAATAAAAAAATGAAGTTTAAATAATTAATACCAATTTTATGCTTATTACTAACATGAAAAATATTATTAAATTAAAAAACAACAAAAAAAAAAAAACTTGAAAAAAAAAATACCTTTTTTATTAACAGCTTAAAATGCAAACGGCATGATAGTTATACAGAAATATATACATTTTATAAAAGCCGGATGTTTAAGCTATAAAATGGTATATAACATTGTCATTTTTGAGAATACTTTTTTTATACTTTTTTCCACCACCTGGCCCACTGTGCAAGGGCCTAGGGAGAAATCACGTATTTTAGGCGAGTGCCTAGTAATTTTGTAGTTCAAGGTAGGTAACTAAAAGCTATGTGGCATACTCAAATTTTTAGTATGTTAATACTGGTATCAAATGAGGATGAATTACAAAAAGTTTAGGTAATTGGAGCTAACCCAACCCCATCCTGACCTCAAATTGCCCCCTTCCTAAAACTACATCTTCTAAGATAACAAAATTTTTTTAAGTTCTATCATAAAGTAGATCAAAATTTATAGACAGATTTCAAGTTTCATCAAAATATATCTTTTTGTTTAAGATATATGACCATAAGAAGTTTAAAATTCCACAAATTTACCCCCTGAAATAACTTTGAATCGTCGTAACTTTTAAACTAGAAATTTTTTTTTTGAAACTTAAAATCTGTTGATGAATTTTTATCTAGTTTAAAATGACACAAAAAAAAAATTTTAAAAATTGCTTTAAAAACATAGACTGCTTTGAGCTGTAAATACTTATTATTACAATAATATAACATTGCATAAACTATGACGATTATTCATTAAATAGACTAAAACTTATTTTGTGCATTTTATATTCTGTATGTTAATGTAGGTTAATGGACCGAACAAGCTCACGAATCCACTCACTACGATTTCAATCTGTTTAGGCGAATGAGAAAAGTAAGAGAACACAGTCCAAACGAAGGGCTAAAAAATGCAGTTGTTGCTTAAAAACTACAAACACTTTTAAAGTAGCTTTCAGTTTGCAGGCAGCTTGTAAAAAATTTAATATTTACCTCTCACAAACAATTGTTTAACATAACTTCCTAATATATGGTATGATGATATATGACGTGCAAAATATAAATAATAATTTAACCACAATTTTTTTTTTTTTTAACGGTGATAAAGTAGTTGTAGTTAACCCTATTGGACCCCTAATACCCCACCCCTAGGGTATGGTTCCTTAAAGCAATTTTTCAATTATTTTTTTGTGTCATTTTAAACTAGATAAAAATTCATCGACAGATTTTAAGCTTCATCAAAAAAAAATTTATAGTTTAAAAGTTACGACCATTCAAAGTTATTTCATGGGGTAAATTTATGGAATTTTAAACTTCTTATGGTCATATATCTTAAACAAAAAGATATATTTTGATGAAACTTGAAATCTGTCTATAAATTTTGCTCTAATTTATGATAGAACTTAAAAAAAAATTTTGTTATCTTAGGAGATGTAGTTTTAGGAAGGGGGCAATTTAGGGTCAGGATGGAGTTGGGTTAGCTCCAATTACCTAAACTTTTTGCAATTCATCCTCATTTGATACCAGTATTAACATACTAAAAATTTGAGTATGCCACTTTTAGTTACTTACCTTGAACTTGAAAATTACTAGGTACTCGCCTAAAATACGCGATTTCGAAATAAGGAAGAGTCTTGATAATAAATAAAAAAATTTCTTGGGATGTGTTGCAAAGTCTCAAAGCCAGTCTCCTAAGCACCGTGAAATACTGTCTAAACTATATTTAAAAAGTGTATACATATTTTCTATGCAATATCAGTCCCTAGCAGTAGCTGTGGTCAACCATACAATCAGAGGCTATTTAAAAAAATAATTTGGGCGGCGTTACCCCCTCATGTAAAACACATGTAAAAAATTTATTTCAAGCCAAAATCTAAAAGTTATTTAGTTTTTTCTGTTGATAAGTTTTTTTATTATATTCATAAAGTATTTGTAAATTTTTTATTTGTATTTTTTAAAATATCAAAATAAAAGACAGTAAATTGTAGAAATCAGTTTAACTTATGATCATCGTCATTATTTTGCAAGTTGAATATGAAATCAGAAAACCTCTTTCATAGTCTGTGAAAGTATAACTGATTCCATGCAGTCAGCAAATTTATAAGTCAAAATTAAATGAATGAGAAGGGTAATCAGAATTCCCCCCCCCCCCCCTCTTCCTTCTCTTAAAACACTATACAATATAATTAGATTAGCCCTTCATATGGTAAAAGATGTATATTGCATATATTTGTATAGTATACAAAATATTTCGCTTTTAGTTGTTGGAGGATTACTATCAGCACATCTTCTTTCGTACAAATCTGAGATTGAACTTGAGCAAGGCTATCCATGTGAGGGACCATTACTTAGATTAGCTGTTCAAGCTGCTGAAAAACTTTTGCCTGGTAGTTTTTTAAGTCAACTTTATTAAATCTTTAAAAACATTATGAATAGTACTAAGTTGACTTTTAAACTTTAACTTTAATAGTTTATGTTTTGATCTTAAATATTATAGCTTTTGTCACCAATACAAGTATGCCTTTTGGAACAGTTAACTTTGATCATGGTGTACCTAATGGGGAAACACCAATAACTTGTACTGCAAGTGTTGGCACTTTTATATTAGAGTTTGGATCTTTATCATATCTTACTGGTAAGATTCTCTACATAAATATTTTAAATTTTAAACCATGTTTATAAAAAAATATATATGCATTTATTTATATATATATATATATATATATATATATATATATATATATATATATATATATATATATATATATATATATATATATATATATATATATATATATATATATATATATATATATATATATATATATATATATATATATATATATATATATATATATATATATATATATATATAATATATATATATATATATATATATATATATATATATATATAAATAAATGAATCAGTGTTTTTTAAAATGTTAAATTTGCTTAGTTTTGAGCAAATCTGCACTTTTAAAAAACACCAACTTTAAACCGATGTTAAACTATTTTAGCTGGCATTAATACATTTTTGATCGGCATCAGGTTGACGCAAGACAAATTCAAATTGGCAGTTTGATCATTACCAAAAACTGAACTTAATTCTGAGCGCTGATTTTTTTTTTTAATAGTCAGGTTTGGTCCAAAAGTAGGAGTGATCGCTCTCGATTACTGACCAAAGAATGACCATATAAAGTAGCATTTTACAATTGCTTTTTTTTTTTTTTTTTAATAATTTTAATTCACCTCCTCAAGGCCGAGAAGGCCACTACAGACGAGGAGGCTACTTATTTTGTGGCTATAACCCTCTCTCAACTCTATAACTCCGAAACATGAACCTTGACAAACAAGGCCGCTGCGCGGAGAAACGAGTTGAGCGCGGTACTACCAGGGACGTGGCGGGGATCGAACCCGGAACCACTCATTCATGAAGCAAGTGCTCTACCACTACACCACTACTGCATTAATAAGAAAACAAATGTTCTTTTATTTATCAAATAATAATATAATTTTTTTTTATATACTTGTGTCTTATTGCTAGATTTAGGAGAGTTGGGGTTAGAGGGGGCTATAGCCTAGGCCCCCGCAATGTTAGGAGCCCCAAAAAAGTCAAGAAGATCTTTTTTTTTAAGTCATTTTTATGCTGTGGCACATAAAAAGGCCTCCAAAATAATAAAAAGTTAATTTTTTTAATAATTATTTTGTGCTTCACGTAGTTTGAAAAGTTAAACATAATTACAACAATTCTTCTTAGTAAGATGAACAAATGAAATAATTAAATCATTGAGTTACTATAGAAATTAATTTAAATAGATAGAAATCAACTAAAAAGGTTAAAAATACTTTATGAGAAGGAAGCGAAACTGTTTCACAATATCGCTGATGATGTTTAGTGAGTGGGTTTTTTAATTTTAATTAGTATTTAAAGCAGAAAAAAGTATAACGAGTTTTTAAGAATGACAACTGAAGCTAAAATAATTAGAGTTTGTAAACCAATATCTAAACACTTTTCTTTATATCTAATAATTATAGTTATATCTAATTATATTTTTTGTGTTCTGGCCTGACCTCAGGTGCGGTTTGTGTTTGTGTATAGTAACCAGAAACTTCTTGTATGCATGTTTATTTCATAATTAGTTTTATTGACTTTAATGATTATTAATAACTTCATTGAAAACGCAATTATTGTTGAAAGTCTTTGTTTAAAAAAAATCATAAAAATTGCTATAAAAGATTACATTAGAATAAAAAGCTGATACACAAAATTACATTTACATAAAAAGTACATACTTTTTAAATAAAAAATAAGAATAAACTAATAAAACCTATAACATAATATAAACTTTTAAAGTTTTGACAATTTAAAAAATATATGTTGCGAAGCATTTATTTTTTTAAACAAATAAAAAAAGTTTAAAAGTTTTATGGCTTTGCAGATGTGGCTCAGATGATGCATACGTTTACTTCAGATGATGATGAATACTCAGAGAATGAACCATAGTATTAAAGTAATTGTTTGATAAAATATTCTTAAAACAATTTATGCTAGATATCTCATAACTTAACAAATCTTTAATAATAATACAATTTTTAAAACATTTTAACAGAATACTCTACAACTTTATTTTGCTATGTCAGCATATTTTTTGAACCAATAGAATTAGTTTGTTCGTAAATTTGGTGGGTTTTTAGTGTTTGCAAATATTCTTTTTATTCTTCCGCACCAAGATGATGTTTTCTTCAAGTTTATGTATGTGTCAACTTCAAGTTTATGTATGTTTTCATGTATGTCTGTAAAACAGAAATACATAAACTTAAACTTTCTCTAAACGACTAAAAAATCTGGCCAGTTTTTCGCAACTAAATAATGTTTCCGTGGTCAGTATTCAAAAGTCTTCCTGACTAAGCCTGATTAGTGCTAACATGCTTTGTACAGTCCTGTATATATATATATATATATATTTCCCTTGCATATATATATATATATATATATATATATATATATATATATATATATATATATATATATATATATATATATATATACAGCGACGTATCCAGGCCGATTTTGATACCGGTATACCGGTATAGGCCCCCAAATTTCAGCCCAAACTCAATTTAAAACACTTTTATATTAGCATTTGTTACAATTACATAAATATCAACATTTGAAAAACGACTACTAAAGTACATTATAAGTGTATTTTAAAAGTCGCATTTAAAATACATTATAAATGTATTTTAAAAGTAAAGTATTTTAAAACTTAAAATACATTATAAATGTATTTTAAGCCAACCAAAATGCTTAATTCGAATTCACGTTGATGAAATATGTTGTAAATATTCACTAAATGGAATATGTTGAAATTGGATTAAATGTAAAACGCACGTTTTGATTGGATTAAAATATGAAACGCTTAGCATTTTTAAATAACATTTTAAAATATATTAATATGAGTTTCTCCTCCGCTTAGGTTTTCATAACATAATTTTCGAAGCAATTAAACTAGATGAGTTTTAAACTTTTTCATTTCAAACAACAGTAAAAATTGTTTGTAAAATACTTTAAATAATAAAACGAATGAAATTTTTTAAAACATAAAATTAAAATAACATTTATTTAAATAATTAAAATAACATTTTAATATTCGCGCCAAAAAACTTTATTGGAATAGTTAGAGTAGAACTAGAAAAAAAAGTTATGAATTTTTGAATGAATTAAAATTTCGAATGAATTTACCTTGTTTAAATACGCTATGTAATAAAGTTTATATCAAAGAGTCATACAAATATTGTTTGTTTATGAAATCATACTCTTTTTATTTCTAGTTGATAATATTTAATATTTGGAATTTAATTATTTAATAATTAGCATTAATTTATAAATAGTAAGTGTATGGAGCAAGTAAATGAAAAGTAGCGATTAGCGATAAATCATTATATATTATATACGAAGAATTGTATTTAAATTTGAGTAAAAAAAAAAAAAAAAAAAAAAAAAAAAAAAAAAAAAGGTCCTCTAAGATAGGCAGAACTTTTAGACCGGTATGCCCAAATTATTCCTGGATACGTCACTGATATATATATATATATATATATATATAAATGTGTGTATATATATATATATATATATATATATATATATATATATATATATATATATATATAAATGTAAGTATAAATATATATAATTTCATACTGTTCAAATATAAATATATATATATATATTTTAACCCTTGTATATGTATATATATATAAATATTATATATATATATATATATATATATATATATATATATATATATATATATATATATATAAATGTAAGTATAAATATATATAATTTCATACTGTTCAAATATAAATATATATATATTTTAACCCTTGTATATGTATATATATATAAATATTATATATATATATATATATATATATATATATATATATATATATATATAAATGTAAGTATAAATATATATAATTTCATACTGTTCAAATATAAATATATATATATATATATATATATATATATTTTAACCCTTGTATATGTATATATATATAAATATTATATATATATATATATATATATATATATATATATATATATATATATATATATATATATATATATATATATATATATATATATATATATATATATATATATATATATATATATATATATATATATATATATATATATATATATATGAAGGGTCCAGGGGAAAAACTCATGAGATCACCAAATCTAGAGAAGAAATTAGTAAATTAGTTTCTTAAATTGTTTATTTTTCCAGTATAAGTAGATAATCCATTACATTATAAGCATTTTAGATAATAATTTTTACTATTACATGTAATGTAATTTGATGTTCCAAATAGTGCCATTGGAAGTCTCAAATTTATCTACTTCTTGTAAATATAACCAGCAGATTTTAGATCGACTGTTTTTGATTTTGAATAGTTTCATTTTCTTGACAGATGAAGTCGAGTGAATTTTGAGCGCATTAATTTTCTCAGTACAGCTAGAGGTTGTGTGTAGATAATTACTGGTTGATTACTTAAAAAACATTTTTTAATCTTTCATTATCAGATAAACTAAGTGAAAAGTTAGCTTCAGTTAAATTGGTTGACAGTTTAAATTACCACAGAAAGTAGTCACTAAAGGAAAGACTTCTTTTGAAATATATTATGAAATGCTTTTGCTATTACATAATCAGGATACATTTTGCTATTACATGATCAGAATACATAAAATTTAAAGACCAACATCAAAGATATTTCTTCAAATTTCTTAAAAAATATGAATATCTTTATTACAAACACACCAGATGCACAAGCCTTTTAAATATCTATCATGATTGTTTACAACAAGAACCACTTTATATACCTAGAAAGTTTAGAAGCGATAACTTCTATTGCATGTCAACTAATGAAGAAAATGCCATTAAAAAGTTTGATTTACAGCGCCTAAAATTGGAATGCCAGTTTCTTTCAATACGAAGAGATAATTTTCTTACATCATTAAACAATGTAAATGCTAAAGTGACAAGTTTAACAATAAATATACAAAAAGTGAAGGTCTTAAAAGAAAAGTTGATTTTCCGATACAAAGAATGTAAAAATGAAG